AAAAAAAATTTTTTTTTTCATTTCTGCCCTCACTATTTCCCTTCTCTATGTCAGTATTTCGTCTAAAATATTTTTCTTCTTTGCTAACTGATTAAAATACATTAGTATTTAACTGGCGAGAGAGATTCAAAGTTTAAAAGAAGCAAAAAAAAAAGAAGAGCAATTTTACATCTTTTCTGAAAAAAAATTTTTTTAAATTAAATTTGTTAGCTAGTATTCTTCAATAAAATAAAATCAAGCTGAGACTGAGTGATTGGCGATGGGGTAGATCAGAATTTCAACAAAATAGTAGATTTGACTGACTTTACCTAAAATAATTTGGTGACTACAAAACAGAAAGCGAACAAAGAACAGTCAGATAACGAAACTGTTTGTGAATACCAAATTCTTCTTTTTTTCACCTTTTTCTCCGTTATTTTTTTCTCTTTTTTTTTTTAATGGTAGCTGTCTAAAAATCTTGCCTAACAGTATCAGCTGATTTACACCATAATTAAACGTTGATATTGCTTCTGCTTCAACATCCCTCGCTCCTGCCACCCACCAAAAACATAAGGTTTCGGGAACAATGGAGCAATTCTTTAGCACAAAAAAAATTCAGTTTAAAGCAGAACTGTTACAGTAATGACATTCAAAAGTAATACTGTTCAAAGTTTTTTTCTGTCTAAATCTAATATGCGCCAAAAATGATTACATAGTTTATCACCGAAGTAAACATAGCTTCTATCTCAATATCTAAATATTAACGAACGATTATGTTCGGTAATTACAAACTCTGAATGGATGAAATAAATATCAAACAAAATATTGTTATAAAACCAAATAATTGATATAACCATTCAGCAAAAAAAACCTATTAATTTTGTGAAGTAAACGATAAAACTTGAAACTAAAATTGTTGACTCTTAATGATCAAAAATATTAGGACAAAAATCCACTTTGATACGCCAACAGGTTAAACGTAGAAAATATAGAAGTAACCGTCCTGTAAAAGATGACTCGTAAAATTTACTTCATTTACAATTACTGATCCAAAAAAAGAGAGCAGAAGCTTTGAAGAACAAAAACAGAAACAAGACAACTCCAACAATAGAAATCCAAAAAAAAAAAGAAAGTAAGAAAAAAAACAAGCAAAATATCCGCAGATTTCTAAAGTTTATAACGTTAAAAAGACAACTGATGTTAATAAAAAAAAAGCTTGCCTTTAATTTTGCCATGTTTTCTTCATTATTTTAAATTTTTTATGGAAAGGAACGAAAGAAGAAGCAAAAAAACACTGCTAAAAAATCTCCAATTTTTTATTGACGATATTTTCTTTTCAAGTATTCCCCTTTATCTCCCCTCACCCGGTATCCTCATTCCCTACTCCCCTCCCTAATGATTTATACAGTTTTTCTAAATAAAAACGAAAAAAAAATTAGGGTGTTGTTTTAAATTTATTTTTGCCAGACATACAGATCTAAAGTTTAAAAGGAAAAAATTATTTCTTCTTAAAAAAAATGGT